AGCTCCGCGCGTGCGTGCGTGCGGCGTCGCAGCCAAAGAGATGACGCCACCTAGAGCTCGAGGCTGGCAATGTGCAAACCTCCCGCCAAGAAGCTCTTGTGCGAATTCCGAGCGCCCTGGTGAGCCGCGCTGTATGGAAACGACATTCCGCATTCTGCAAGAGCGAATGGGGGGGAGGAGGGGGCGGGGGAGGTCCGGGGGAGCGACGCGCGATCGCACACCAGGGGGGACGAGGTCTGCTGTGTAGGCTCTGGCTCTGGCGCTGTCGTGGGTGGTCCCCACGGCTGTGTCCTTAGTCTACGCTGTTTCTGGCTGGGCCATTTCTGGCACCCATACCCTCTCAGAACTCCGTTCTCACTTCGGGCAGATTTCATTATGATCCGTTATGCATAATTGCTGCCTCCTCATAATTAGGCAGCCGTGGGAAGCCCCTTCCATTTCAGCAAGCCCAGGGCAGGAGGAAGAGGCGGGGGTAGGAAGAGATGGGGGCCCTGGGAACCCAGCGGCGTGACCCCTGACCTCAGCGATGGGGCCAAGGTCAAGGCTAGAGTTCCAGGTCAGACTAGCCTGGGACGTTTTAAGACTTTCCGCCATCTGTCCGGCCCCCAGAATGTGAGCCCTACTCCTTGACAATGCAGAAGACTGGCCCTGGGGTTAGATGCCTCTGCCTGGTGTCCTTGCTGCCTAAAAATTCCTTTAACTCGTCTGAAGGTGCTGGGAAAATGTCCCCATCTGAAATTATGGGTCCCTGGAGAGTAGCTTGCCTTTGTTCAAGGAGCCAGGAGGAAAATTGCATTTAGCAGACACCTAGGAGGTGGTGGAGCCCAGGAGGTCAGGGTCAGGCAGGCTGAGCCAAGTGCCCTGCTGGTCCAGCCAAGGGGACCCCTCTGGTGATGACTGACAGGTGAAGCAGATACAAAAGTATAGAGTCAGCCCTGGCGGAGTAGCTCAGTTGGTTAGAGCATCTTCCTGATACACCAAGGTTGTGGGTTCGATCTCCAGTCAGGGCACATACAAGAAGCAACCAATGGATGCATAAAAGGGTGAAACAGCAAAAGTGATGCTTCTCTCTCTTAAATCAATAAATAAAAATTTTAAAAAAGTATAGAGTCAGGAGAATAACAGGGAAGGTATAAGATGGGTTTTCCAAGAAAAAAGCTAATCAGGAGATGCCACCTAATTTCTCCTGATTACCTGAGGTCTCCAGGACAGAGACACATACCCTTTATTGTGGCACTGTGGCTACCTGCCTATAATTGTTCTCATGAAATGGCTTAGACAAGAGGGGTGGACACAGGAAATCAGAATGATAGTTCTGATAATTAGTATTATTTATTTTTAAAAATGTATCCTCCACAGCAGGTGTTCTTAACCTGGGGTCTACAATCCTTAGGACACCCATGAATAGTCCTTGGGGAGTTGACTGCCTGAAATTGTTTACAGAATTGTGCATGTATGTGTACACAGGCATTTTCTTGAGGAAAGAGGTGTCCAGCTTTCATCAGATTCTCAAAGGGTCTAGGGACCTAAAAAGGGTTCAGAATTCCTGCTCTAGATACCTCCTCTGTAGGTCAGCATTTCCCAACATAAATGTCTAGGACCACAGGCATCAGGGTTACCTGGAGCACTTATTGACAGGCAAGTTCCTGGCCTCGAGCCAAAGCTCCTGAGTCAGACTTTCAGGGGTGGGACCTGTGATGTTTTCTGGGAATGTTGATTTTGATGCATTGCCAAATAAGAGAAATAACATCAAGTCAGGGCAGTGTGTGCTGGTCCCTTGTGTCTGTGACACCTTGGGAGAGAACCCCCGATGTAAGCTTTGGTAGGGGGGAGAAGATTGAAATCCTATCGGGTTGTGTCCTCACCCCCTTTTGTGGCACTGACTGAGCTAGAATGTCCAGGGGGAGGGCAGAAGTTCTGGCCCAGGGCTGAGGCAGGCCAGCCAGCCAAGACACAGATGTGGTTTTGGTCTGAGAATCTATGACTGAGTTAATCTCTCCATGCCATTCCACCCCAAATCCACAGCTTCCCATCTCCCCAGATAAACCAGTCCCAAGATCTTGCCTGGGCCCCATGGGCTGACATGTCTGCTCCTCCTCTCCTCTCCTGGCCTGGGCTCACCTGGCCACCTCAGTGGTAAAGACAGTGGTAGAGATTTTGGGATGGAAGCATCCAGAAAGCCTCTACTGCAACCTGCCCCTCCCTGGCTTTACTCCTCTTCCATCTTCTCTCGAACCTCTGCTGGCAGGCCCTCATAAAGGCTGTTCTCCACCAGAAGCCCAGCCTTCTTTAGCTCTCTACAGTTGCCCAGTTCTTCTGGCAGAGCCTCCAACCTGTTGCCCTTGAGCTCCAGGCGGATGAGGGACCTGAGGGCCCCCACCTGGGGAGACAGCTGAGTCAGTTGATTGTAGCCCAGGAGTAACGTCCGAAGCTTACAGCAGAAGAAGAGCTCATCAGGCAGGGTCTCCAGGGCATTATAGGAGAGAGCCAGGTGTTGCAGGTTCTGCAGGAGACCCAGCTCAGGTGGCAGGGAGTGTAACCCATTGTGGGTAACATCCAGCAGGCGGAGGCCAGAGCACATGCCCAGTTGGGTGGGTAGGGCCTCCAGCTTGTTGTGGCTGAGGTAGAGCTGCTCAAGGACCCGCAGCTTACGTACATGTTCGGGGACGTAGGCGATCTGGTTGTGCCATAGCCTGAGCGTGATCAGCTTGCGACAGTGCTGGAAGCTGAGGATCTCCTCAATGGACCGCAGGTGGTTGTCCTTAAGGTCAAGTTCCTGCAGTGCACCTAGGCTAAAGACTGCATGGGGGATGCGCTCCAGCCCGCAGGCCACCAGCTCCAGCTCCCGTAGCACCGTCAGCTTCTTGAGGCTATTAAGGGCCAGCAGGCGGGCCCCATCATTGTGCAGGCTAAGCCGCTGCAGGTGACCAGCCACATCAGTCACGCTGGCTGGGACCTTGCCGGCATTGCTCCAAAGAGATAGCACCTTGAGCTGCTTCAGCTCTCGGAGGCTCTCAAGGGTAGCTGCCTGAGCCAGCTCTGGGGGAAAGAGCCCCTCAAGGTGCAGCTCTTCCAGGCCACGCAGCCCAAACACCCAGAGAGGCACCTCGCGGAGCTCCTCACACTTGATACGGATGACCTTCAGGCGGTCCCGCAGAAAGATCTGCAAGGAAAAGGGTAGCCTGGCAGGAGAGTGGATCAAGCTGAGTTCCTGCAGGTGCACCAGCTGTGACAGGCCTGGGGGGAAAGTGATATCAGAGATGGCCTCCAGGCGGAGTGCCTCGACCTCACGGAGCTCAAAGACGGTATCAGGCAGTCCTGGGAGCATGCAGAGCGCCAGCTCCAGCCGGCCCTTGGTGTTGTGCTGCAGCTTCTGCCGAAGTTTCTCAGGTGTCCACTCATGGTTGAGGTTGAGCTGCTTCAGGCGGCTCTCGCTGACCTCGGAGAGGAAGACAGCGAAGCGCTTGGAGTACAGCGGGTCATACTGGTCGATGAGGTGCAGCATAAAGGCAAAGTCATTCTTGACATCGGGAATGTCACCCATGCCAGTCTCCTCCCGAACAGAGCGGAAGGAGTATTCCTTGAGGGGTCGGTGGAAGAGCCAATAGAGTGTATAGAGGCAGGTGATCCCATAGACACACACAAAAGAGATGTAGCAGAAAGCCAGCTTGGAGAAGAGGTGGGCCTTGGTGTGGTTGCAGCAGAAGCTGGCATAGCCCGTGAACCTTGAAGTCTCCACTGTGCAGGCCACCACGAAGCTTATCTTCTCCACATAGATGAGGTTGTAGACCAGGATGGCAAAGAACTTGCAGACTTTGAGCACCATCTGCCTGATGTACATGGTGTATAAAATGTCCCCCTCTTCCACGTGCACACGGAACTTCTTGACCTTCTCAAACAGGGCTTTGGCCTGTTCCCCCTCCTTCTTGTCCAACAGGGTAACAGCTGGTGGCTCAGTCACCACCTTCTCAGGCTCTGTCAGCACCTTCTCTTTTTCACCCTCCCCCACCTTCCCTGGCCCTGCCTCAGCAGCCACAGTTGCTGTTGTTCGTCCAGTGGCATGGCCCTTACGGTTCTCCCCCGAGACCTCAGACAGAGCCCGTGTGGTCCATGGTGAATCGAAACACTTGCCCAGGATAGAGGTGAAGTGTTCGATCTTGGAGCTTGTGCCAGGGAACTTGAACCAGAAGCTAGTGCAGACCATAAAGATGAGTGTGTGAATGACAACCAAGTAGGGAAAGTACTTGGGGTACCAATGAAGGGCCTTCTCATAGCAGAGCTGGTTAATGAAGCTGTACTGCTGCAGGTCCAAGTTATTTTTGAGGCCGCTCACTTCCTGGAGACCCTCCATCTGTTCAGGGACCCCCTGCAACAACAGTTGCTGACACGGGGCCTCAGATAAGTTCTCCCGGGGTTCATGACTGGGCAGACAGATGATCTTGTCCTGTGTCACCTATGGAATAGGGAAGAGGGTAAAAGAGGGTGAGGGATCTGGGGAATCGGGAGAGAAGTAGGCTGAGGTGGAAGGCCCTGATCCCCAACTGTCCCCAGCTGGCTCTGATGACTTTAGAAGAGTCAATAAATCTGAGCATCAGTCTTTGTCTGAAAAAAAGAGTTAGGTTGAATTGTGTCCCCCAAAAAGATGTTGGAGTCCTAATCCTCAATACCCATGAATGTGGCAGTGTTTCCAGAGCAGATGGAGTCAAGATGAGGTCATTAGGGTGGGCCCTAAACCAATATGACTGCCTTTATTTATTGATTGATTGATTTATTAAAAATATGCTTTTAGCCCTAACCGGTTTGGCTCGGTGGATAGAGCATTGGCCTGCAGACTGAAGGGTCCCAGGCTCGATTCCGGTCAAGGGCATGTACCTTGGTTGTGGGCACAACCCCCCGGTGGGGAGTGTGCAGGAGGCAGCTGATCGATGTATCTCTCTCATTGATGTTTCTAACTCTCTATCCCTCTCCCTTCCTCTCTGTAAAAAATCAATAAAAATATATTTTAAAAAATATATATACTTTTATTGATTTCAAAGAGGAAGAGAGATAGAAACATCAATTTTGAGAGAGAATTATTGATTGTCTGCCTCCTGTATGCCTCACACTGGGGATTGGGCCTACAACCTGGGCATGTGCCCTGACTGGGAATCAAACCGTGACCTCCTGGTTTGTAGGTTGATGCTCAACCACTGAGCCACGCCAGCCAGGGTGACTGTGTCCTTTTCAAAAGGGGGAATATGGACATAGACACACACACGTAGAGGGAAGATGCTATGAAGATATAGGGAGAATATCATCTATAAATCAAGCCCCCAGAACCTAGGAAAGAGGCATGGGACATATTCTCTCTGACAGCCCTGGGAAGAAACCAACCATGTTGACACTTTGATTTCAGACTTCTAGTCTTAAGAACTGTAAGATAAAAATTTTCTGTTTAAGCTACCCAGTTCATGATAGTTTGTTATGACAGCCCTAGCAAATTAATAAGGTAACTGCAGTTCTTACTAGGTTCTAGGGACAAAAGTATTATAAAAATATGGACTACCATAGCTATGTGCAGGACTTTGGTGCTGCTGCCAGTGATGGAGAAAATGGGAAGGCTTCAGAATTGGTCTGTAAGTATAGGGGGCTCTGGTTTCTCCTTCCTTGGATAAGAGGAAGATTTCTGAAATTCCCCAGGCCACACCCTCTAAAGCACTGGTTCTCAACCTGTGGGTCGCAACCCCTTTGGCAGTCGAACGACCCTTTCACAGGGGTCGCCTAAGACCATCCTGCATATCAGATATTTACATTGCGATTCATGATAGTAGCAACATTACAGTTATGAAGTAGCAACGAAAATAATCTTATGGTTGGGTCACAACATGAGGAACTGTATTTAAAAGGCCAGAAGGTTGAGAACCACTGCTCTAGAGCCCCGCCCCTATATAGATTCCTCTCCTACCCCCTCATTCAGGCCCCGCCCTGCCCCTTCCCTTACCTGGAGGGTGCAGCCAAAGACCCCGATCATGAGCATAGCCACTGTGAGGTATTCGGCCAGTACGTCCCACCAGGGTTTGAGCAACTTGAAGGCAGGCTGCTGCTCTGAGAACTGCTTGAACTCGGCCAGTGGAATCATCCTGCCTATGAGAGAGGAGGAGGTGTGGTGCGGAGACCTCAGGCAGTGGCATCTGCTGGTGGGGCCCCCTAGGAGCCAGACGCTGCTCCGGATCTGCACTTTACCCTGCCGAAATCTGGCAGAACCCAGGAGCTGTGCGTCCCCTTTCCCTCTCCCCCAGACCTCACCTCCTTCCTGGAGCCAAGCGACTAATGTTCTCACTACTTCTGCTCCCTGGGACCTCTGCACCAATCTGAACCTGCCTGCCCTTTCAGGGCTCAGGAGGGCTGTCCCAGGTGCCACTGTCCCCCAGCTAGCCTGTGTGTCCTTTCAGAACCAGGGCGTCTCTTACCTTTAACTACGAGCCAGGCAAAAGTCCCTCTGCAGCTCTTTTGACTCCAGACACTGGGTGTCTGAGTGTCAGGACTGGCTCTCCACCACTGGACGAGAGGATGGCTCAAGGCTCAGGACTTCCGGGGCGTGGGCCCTGCCACCCCCTTGAGGGGAGCTCGGGGCACCACCTCCAAACTCCAACCGGAAAAGCCGGCTGGAGCCTGGCTCCGATTACAGGCCCCAGGGACAGGGAGTGGCAAAACTGAAGGCTGGTCAGCCCTTGGGGTGTGTGGCTAGGACACCTGGGTTTATAGAGGGAATGTACCCAGAATCTGAGGCAGAAAAAGACACTTAGGCTCTGAAAGTGTAGGGCAGGGGGTGCCAGGGTGAGTGAGGCTGTGGCAGAGGATCAGGAAATGAAAAATTTGGGGAGAGAGCCAGTGTGACATCTATGACTGAGACAGGACTGGGCGGCCAGCCCACTGCCTGTCCCTGGGTTTCATTTTAGACCAAGGTATCCTTATTCCAGATACAGATGGCCAGGTGCAAGTCACACAAAAGCCACAAGCCTGGACCAGGAGCCCCCTTCTCTCCCTGAGGCTGGAGGTGGGAGGAGAGGGAGGTAGCAAGGCCGCCACTGCCTCTGAGGGGGCTCCTAGGCCACCCACCTCTCCCAGCATCCATGGTTCCCAATATATAGGCCTCATTTTCTCCCAATGGGTTCCTGGAGCCTGCTCGCCTCATCCTGATAGCTTCACTGGTGCAGGCTGGGCAAGGAAGGTAGCATCTGGGCCACCAGCTGGTCCTCCAGCCCTTCACCCATCTTCAGGGGGAACCTGACCCAGTCCCACACCTGCACCAAAGGCTCTGACACCTCCCTTTCCCATCCCCTCATCCCTTGAAACCCTTGGGGATTTAGTGGGTGGAGATAGAGGATGCAGGCCCCACCCACTTAATCCCATCAGAGGTTCCCACCACTGTACCAAGATGGGGATAGGCTAGCAAGATGGGTACATGTCTGCTCACACCCAGACTCCTGGGCTCCCTGACTCAGGCCCTGACTCACCCAGCACCAGGCACACGCAAGGAGGTGCACAAAGAACACAAGATCCCTTATGCAATGGCTCATTCCTCATACTCAGTTTTAGACCATCCTAAACAAAAAGCCAAGTAAAAATGCCCCAGTGCATCCCAGTCAGTCTTGGTCACCAGGGGATCTGATAGAAACATACCCAGGGCATCTTAACAGCCCCAAGCACCCAAAAGTACATTGCAGCCACCAAAAGGGTCACTTGGGGGCATTTTGAAGTGTGCACATTTGTGCATGTAGGCCTAAGTGCGCAAACACTGAGCTGAGGGGGGACCTAGGACCAGGGAGACACCACACATCCTTTTCCAGTCCCTGCCACTTATGGTTCCCCCTGCCCTGGCTACCTGTCCCTGTAAGAGACACTGCTCAGTTGCTTAACTTAAAAATAGGAACTCTGGGGGCTGCAGCAGGGGACTTCCTACCTGAGTTCCTGCTACATTTCAGGATCCATCTCACAATGGCAGAAGTTCACTTCTGGGGTCCACAATCAGGCAAAAAGAGACCCCTAAGGTCCCCAGCAGATTGCTCAGTGGTTCCCATGGAACAAGGTGCATATACAACACCATCAGAGGCAGACACGAGGGGTTATCATTATGTGTCTCCATGACTCAGACTTGATTGTTGGAACCTGCCATTAAGCTTCCACAGACACAATGCCCCCCCTATGTCTGAGCAGGGCTAGTGGGAGGGTCCAGAGAAAAGGACTTTCGGGATGGGGGAAACCCTTAGAAAAACAACAATGGGGCCACACACACAACTTACAGCCACCATATCTCAGTGAGCATGGGTGTTGGAACTCTCTTTTTCCAGCCTCAAAGGGAGAGAAATAATTTGCTCAAGTTTTCACAGCTACAAATGGCATTTGAGGTGGAACCTCAAATGCCTGATTGCATCCATTCTGTTCCATTTTGAGAGAAAACCTCTGGCAGAGACTAGTATCTTTGCCAAAAGAACTTCAGTAGGGGAGTATGGAGGTGAGATGGTGGGATGGCTGCTCTGCATGCCAGATTGAAGAAGGGGTCTCTGTCAGCCTAGGATAGGTACATGCCCCCTACCCAGTCTTAGCTCCACCCATCCACACTTGACCCTTGCTTCTCCTCTCTTAGGCCCTCCCCAATCCTCTAACCTGCCTCCAAAAACACGTGGTGGTGAGGACTCCTGATCTAGCCCCTATCCCCACCCACAGTCCATGCTAAGAGTAAAGGAAAACACAGCAGCAGTTGTCAGCGCTGGAACAGGCCTTGGAAGGCACAAGGTCCAACCTTTTGACTTTTACATAAGGGAGAAACTGAGGCCTTGGTGGGGGAGGATGGGACTTAGTAGCAGATGGGGGGGGGGGCACACCTGGGAACTCCCAACCTAGTACTTTTCCAAGGTGCCCTGCCAGGACTTGGGGGTCTAGGTTCAAGAGTCCCAGAGAGGGCAGCCTCGTGAAGAACCCAAGTGGTGGTTCTGGGGCCTTATGGAGCTCAGAGATGAGTTGTTGCTGTTGTCTCAAAGGCCAAGGAGAGGGAAACATCATGAAGACCCTTTCTCCCCCCCCACCCCCC